ACCAGGGACTGGCGGCGGCTGCCGGCTCCCTGCCTCAGGCCAGGGATTTCGGGGTGCACCGCATCACTTTTCTCAGGCATCTTGGCCTTACCTAGCCGTCGTCCATTGGGTGCCCATTGCCATGGAAACGGGTTGGCATGGTAGCACCGAACCGGCACTGGCGCGGGTTGGCTCCAGCTGTCGGTTTCCCAACCGCCCCCGGATTGTACGAGTCAAATAGGCTGGAGGGAGAGAGCGGGGACGGTGTGGGCGACCGGGGTCTGTGGGGCCCTGCTCTCACCCCGCAGGAAGGAAACGAGTTGAAATGAGACGGCATGTCCCCAACCATCATCTCGTGTGTCCCCAAGGTCCTCACCTAGAGCCAGCCCCGCAGTGGCTCCGGGCCCTGCTCTCGGGGCACGATCGTCCCAGAGACCATCCTGCACAAGCCCCAGGCAGAGAGGACAGATATTTGTCTACTGGGTGAGGATCTGTGTGCTGCCCAGGGCAGCTTGGCTGGTGAGGTGGCCTCACAGGTCGTGTCCCTGCGTGGCAGGGTCTGCCCGGGCACAGCACAGGTCTGCAAGGATCCTGCTCTCTGCCCTGACTCCCTCAGGCAGGAGCAAGCATGTACGTGGCCACATGGTGAACTGGAGCACAAACCTCACGGGGGTTTAAAACCTGCTGGTTTTTTTTCCTCCTAAGAGAGTGTTTTCTCCTAAGCAGTGTGGGCCCCTTTCTGCTCCTTTGTGACCTTCAGGGGCAGCTGCACGTGGGAGTTTTTCAACATCCCACAGTCCTGCCTGCAGCATCCTTCAGTTTGACTGCACCCTCCTTCCATGAAAAGCCCTACTTTCAGGCTCAGTGGCCACACCGGCTGAGGCAGAGCTCACCATGCTCCTTCCAAACCTGCCAGCGAGACACCAGAGGGAAGGCATGTCAGCTGGGAGTCGCCATCCCAAGTGTCAGCAGCTCCCTGAGATCAAGCAAAGAACCAGCAAATGGCTATTTACTTCCAGGCCTTTCCCCTCCTGGCCTTCCCCAGGAAAATCTTAAAGGCTAAAGGGGGAGGCAGCGACCACGTGCCTGGCCAAAGTTTGCTAGAGCGGATGCACAGCATCAAATATGGGAGAAAACCCACCAGCTCAAAAGCAAGTGTGTGTAAGACGCCAGCTGTGAATGCCTCGCAGCCACAGCACAGATAAATAGGATCCTGGGGCAGCTGCTCACTGCCACAAAGCCACTGCATCTGTCCTTGTGTCTCTTCCTTGGGAGGAAAGTGCTAAGGCTGAGCAGACCCTGGCCAGGCACGTCCTGGATGTTTTAGCCCTCCCAAGAGCTCACTGAGCATGACTTCATTGCCCCGTGAGGGCACGAGTGGCTTCACAGCAGCCCTGGGAGAAGTCAGTCTTAACTGGGTTACTTCTACAGGGAAATTGAGGCAGGACTTGCTCTG